TTGACTCACAAAATTACGCCTCCTTTGTTCCTACCTTTGGACCTTTGCTCATATTGCTTTTCCTGCTTGGTCCCCTTCACTTAGCCGAATTCCACTCATCCTGCAAAGCTCAACTCAATCTAATCCATGAAACATTTGTATGCCATACCATTTAAGATTCCATTCTAATCCATCTTGGGTTGTTCCTTATTGTTTCACATATACAGATCTTATCTCTGTCACTAAATTGTAAACTCCAAGGGGACAGGAACCATGCCCTACACTTCTCTTGTATCAACCACACCACTTAGGGCTGGGCACTTAATTACTGCTTCAAGCATTTTACAAAATCAGAGAATCATAGGATTTAGAGATCATCTTAACCAGACGTAGGGAAAAACTTGTCCAAAGTCAGATGAGGCAACAGATCTCAGGTCCTCTGACTTGAAATCTAGCATTCTTTCCACAATCAACTGCACTTACCACCTTCTGCTAGGATTAGTTACCTCTGTATGTATCTTACTCCCCTTACTGGACTGTAAGCTCCTTGAGGGCAGGAAATAGATCTTTCATTTTTTGTTTTCTCAAAAGAGGCAATGTGTGGTACACTAAACAGTACATGCAGGTAGGCTGAAGAAGAACCATAAAGATCACCAAATACTTAATTTTTATATATGAAGGAAATTGAACCTCAGAGAGTAACTTACCTGAGGTCTAAAGCACACTACCACTATATCATACCTCCTGTTCAAGTGCTGTCTCTAACATCATAAGCCTTTCTCAGCCTTGGTTTCTTCGTCTGGAAAACAGGGATAATAATACTTGTGCAGAGGCATTGTGGCCTTGTGGGTAGAGACCTGGTCTCTGAGTTAAGAAGGCCTGGGATCAGTTCGTGCCTCTGATACATACTGGCTGTGTGACCCTGGGCAAGCCACTTATGGTCCTAGCACCCCAAGCAGCATTGTAAGACTCTTAAGTTGCAGAGTAGGGGCCGATCTGTATTGGAAGAGGGAATTCTCTGTATTAGTAAGATGACAAGTCTCCTCTTTCTCTAGAGAGGCATTATTAAACCTGAAGTCCTTGGACAGATTTCAGGGGTCCTGTGAACTTGGTTGGGAAAAACAAACAAACAAAGGCTACATCTTTATGTTTTTACTATGATTCGTTTCCTTTGTAATCTTGTCTGTTTTATTTTATGCATTTAAGAACATTATTCTCAGAAGAGAGTCTACAGCCTTCATCAGACAGCCAGAGGTCCATGAAGAAAAGTTTGGAACCCCTGCCCTGGGCTCCGAGTTCAATCCTTAAGTCCTTTCCTAGGGCCAGGGCACATTCAAAACTAATCTCCACTTGGACCTTGTGGTTCTGAATGAACAAATCCTCTAGTACTAGGACACTGTTCCTCTTTCCCTTTGGCTTGTCAATAAGCCCCTGACATGGCTCCATCCCAGCTTCTTTCCCTCAGTATACTTTCTACCCAATGCCAGGACCAGCTCATGGAGGGCATTTGGCAGGTCAGGTCATATTTTCTCAGCAGAACAGGACCCAAATTGCAAGGTCTTGGCAGTCCCACAGGGCTGACGTGTACAATACAATGCAATTCCAGGGGCCAGCAGGATACAACTAACTTCCCTGGCTATTTGAACCCAGATGGAAATCACAAGCCCTTAGTTAGCTAACCAGTGGGATCAGCTAGAGCCAAGCCTGCTCACAAACACCCCGCTTGGGCCTGAATTTTGGGTGTGGCTGATGAGCAGTAGTCACTGGGAAAGAAGCAGCTGGGACTTTGCTCTTTTGGGAAAGACACCTGGGGTGAGAGGAGGGAAAAGCAGCTTTTGTTTATATCTAAACAAGAAAAGTAGGGGCAGAGTTAATTCAGGATACCCCAACTCAAATCACCAACAATCTGGATCCAGAGGAAGTAACATGGTGCAGTGGAAAGAGTTCTGGGTTTGGAGTCAGAGGAGCTGGGTTCAGATTCTGAATCTGGCACTCACCATAGAGTGGGACTTCGGTGACTTCTGTGTCCTCTCTAAGTGCCAGTTTCTTTGTTTAAAAAAATAAAGGGATTAGACTAGCTTGTCTTTATGGTCCCTTCCAATTACAAATCTGTGATCCTAGGATGGTAGATTGCATCTGAAAAGGGTGAATCAAATGTAAATTATGACCATCAATGAATAACTCTCTTCTGCCCCATGGACCCAGCCTGAGAAGCGAGTCAGTGGCCTGGAGGACGAGCAGATCTCGATGAACACAGAGTTCCTCACCTCTCCATCTCAGGTCCTCTATTTGTCCAATGATCATTACAGAGTTTTATAGAACTGGGAGGGCTTTTTGAGATCATGTAGCTCAACAATCTCATTTTACAAATAAGGAAATTGAGGTAATTGGTAACTTGCCCAAAGTCATAGTGAATTACAGTGAATTGGACAGAAACTAGAATCCAAGTCTTTGGATATCCAACCTCAGGGGCTTTCCACTGCCCCACATTGAGATGACCACATCTTTTCCCTCTATCCCTCCTGGGAGGCCAGGACACAGAGGTAGGGCCTTAATCTGGTAAGAACTCTCTTTCATCCTCCACGTGATGGTGGTCAGCCTGCCATATCACAGGACCTCAAAATGTTAGAACTTCAGATCATCCTGAATCGTCCAGTTCAATTGAGAATCCCTTCTACAACATACATGACAAGAGGACACCTGGCTTTTGCCTGATGACCCCTAGGGGTAACCCAGTACTTCTGGAGGCTGCTTCCTGTATTTCTGCAGGGTTTCAATTGTCGGGAGGTTTTCCTCCCATCAAGCCTCAGTTTGCTCCTATGTAACTTCCATATATTGCTCTTAGCTCTGTCCTCAAATGACAGCTCTTCAGAAATCTGAAGATAGCTATCATGTCCCCTGTGACCTTGCGCTCAGTGTTAACAGGTGTGGATTTACCCCATAAAGGCCCTGGGTTTTAGTCCTCTGGAAAAACCCCTAACCTCCTCTGTACTATCTCTTCTGCTCTGTCATTGAGCATGGTCATCCATCAGTCAACAAGCATTTATTAGGATGTACCAGGCACCGTGCTAGGAGCTGGAAATACCAGGACAACAATGAAATGGTCCCTACCTTCAAAGACGTTATAGTCTGCAAAGTGGGCCTGTCCTATGACATGCTGTATGACAAGGTAATCTAAAATGACAAGGCTCTAAAATCGACACATTTGGCTTTTGACAGATGAGTAAAGAAAGACTGAGCCTGGGGGTAGACAGGAGCCTTATTATGCTGTCAGCAAATCATTTGATTCACTGGAGAGTTTATAGCATCACTGACTCATGGGGGAAGGAAGGACTACAATTGATTTTACAAAGTGCTTTGAGATCTCAGTGGCCAAGGACTATGCTACAAATTATTGATGCTGTAACCTTCCACTCACTACCTGAGTGGGAGTCACTTTTTGGTATTACCCTGGAGGTGAGGAGGATTAAAGAAAAGGCCCCAGTGGTCTTCCCTTGACCCTAGACTTCCATGACTCTGAAGTCTAGATAGAATTTGCATTTAACTACTCTATGACCAGAATACATGGGATTCAAAAGCCCCCTCTACACCCCTCACTGACCAAAACTACATCCCCACCAAATGGATTACTCATCCAAGGCCAAGGTAAGGCTATTCTTTTCAGATGTTTTTGCCTCAAAGCCTACAACTTTCCCCCAAAAGGGCCATTACTAGACCCATAGGGGTGAGTTTCTTTATCTGAAACCTGATTCATCTTTTCTGCCTCCAACTGTGAAGGTGGCCTTGTTTTCACATGACCTAGCCTCCCCTTGCCTAGGGTTGTAGTTTTGGGGACTCCACTCTACCAGCTTTTCCCAGTTCTCATGTGACCATGCTTAGTAAGGTATAGATCCAGGTCCTCTGATTCCAAATACTGTGTTTTCTCCACTATACCATATTTCCCTGTGCTAGATACTATAGTACAATAATTATAACACAGACTGCTTTCAAGGAGTTTACAATCTAATGTATGTGTATGAGGGAAGACAAGTACACAAATAAGTATGATACAAGAAGCAAGATAATCGTAAAGGAGAAGTTTAGATTAATTGTGATGAGAATCTGACAGAGGTCAGCGAAATCTGTTCCAGGAATTAGGATGGTGTGAGCCTCGAGGCCCCTGGCATGAATCAGGACAAGAACAGAAACAAAGACAGCCCAGGCTGGCTGGAACATGGAATGTGTGAAAGGGTACTAGTATGAGACAAGTCTGGGCAAGTAGACTGGAGTCTGCTTGTGGGTGGCCTTAAATGTCAGGTGTTTATATTTATATAATATCTCTATTACATGGACAATAGGGAGCCACTGAATGTTTCACAGAAGGAAAGCGCCATGATCATGATAGTGCATTAAGAAGATTAACCTGACAGTGTGTGATGGATGAACTGGAGTGGAGACAGACTGGAGATAGGAAGATGAAGGTGGCGACTATTAGAATAGTAAAGAAAAGAAGGGATGAAGGTCTGAACTAGGATGGCTGCCATGACCCCAGAGAGGAAGAGCTAATGGGAGAGCTATTATGGAAGTAGAAATTGTATATGGGGGTAAAGGAAAGGGAAGCATCGAAGATGACTCTAACATCATGAGGATGGAAGGATGGTGGTGCCATCAACAGAAATGGAGAAGTTAGGGGGCAGACCGATTAAGAGGGGGATAGCTCAGCCTGGGGAGAGGCTAGAGAGCAAAGTTTAGGGGGCACAAGGTGGGGAGCATGGGACTAAAGTTAGAGGTCAAGAGGGCAGGGAAGAGGGAGCAGAGTGGGGACAGGCATCTAGGGGAGTCAGAGAACAGGGTTCAGGGGGGTACACCAGGGGTGTTTCCCCAGCAGAGATACAGAACTAGATCTGAGTTCAGCAGCTCCAAATGCAGGGTGGCAGAGCATCTCTGGGATACGAAGGGGGGCAAAAAGGTTGACTTGGGGTAACTCTCTAGGGGAGGATTGGAAGTTTCCTGAGCCCAGGGCACAGACAGGGGCTTTTTACCTTATCCCTTCAGGGTCCTGGTTGGATTGCAATTGACCAGTGCTGGCCCCGGGCTGGGCTGGGCCGGGAGGGAGACAGGGAAGCGCGGCGTCAGGAACAGTCCCAACTCTGGGCCGGACCGTCCCAGGGTGGAACATTCAGACTCCCCAACATTCCACCCACCCAGGCTTCGCCCTCGCGTCCTAGCCAATCAGAGCTTCCCTCCGTGGTAAGTCTGCGCCCCACCCTCTCTAGCCACGCCCCCTTCAGGGAGTATCGGCCAATCGGTGCGCACAGGCCTGCCAGGACCCTGAGGGGGCGGGGCCAAAAGGACCGTGGGTCCTTGATAATGCAGAGGAAATTTGGGCTGTTTAGGGTTCGGGGCTGCAGTCTCGGGTAACTGACTGGCTCTCTCCCCTCGTCTAGGCTCACAGTTCCTCAATCACACAACCCCAATTTCCTTTCTATTGCCTTCAAAACTCCAAGGGCAGGCGCCCAAGCTGAGTCCACCCTGGAGTTTTTGCAGGCCGGGTAGTTTTTATTTATAGGTATGCACCTCCTATAACATCCCCCTTAGCTTTCCTTCATCCATCCCCCCAGGGGGAGGGGCTGGGAGACCAGAGAAAGGAGGCGGAGCAAGTGTAAGTATTTCAATAGTTGAGTGATGCATGCGGATTGTTTGGCCAAAGTAGAAATAAGTCACTTTTAGGCTTCGAAATAGCACTTTTCAGCCCTTGCCTCCTCCCACTTCACCTCTCCCCTCCACACCACATACCTTCCCCACTCCCAACACCCCCAGTAATTCTGCTCTGAACAGAAACTTGCAGGAACAGCAAAGTGTCCCCAAGGCTTTCTGAGCCATTTCCTGATTTCCCCCTGCAGGAATGATTCGTGAGTAAGCCCTGTGGAAACCTGTCCTGTCACCATAAATAAGGGAAATTCTCTCCCTTGATGATAAAGTATCTGGCATAGTGTAGAGCCAAATTCAGGCAACCCTTTCAGGCCCCAGAAGGGACAGGACATAGGATTAAGAGGACTTAGGGAATCACCTGGTCACATGGTCAGACTTTAAAGTTGAAAGAGACCTCCGAAGTGATATAGTTCTACCCCATTCTTACAGATGAGGAAACTGAGGCCTAGAGAAGTTAGGTTTCTTGTAAGTACATACTGTGAATGGAAGAGGCAGGATTTAATTCTGCCTTCTGTCTCCAAATCCCCTCTATTGTGTTTCATTGCCTCTTGTCAATCCCCCACACCTTTTTATTGGATGAGAAAACTGAGGTCCAGGAAATTGAGTGACTGGCCCAAGATCCTAGGAAAGGCCTAATTAGAGCTTAAGCCCTCTAGATTCTCTTTCTGCCATCCTGCGATGCCTTAGGTCCCCATGGTCTTTTGTCATAGACAGGGCACAGGGGAAAAAAGAGTCAGAGTAAAGGGGGAAAAAAGAAAAGGAATTTCACCTCTTACTCCCTTCAAATTTCTCCTTCATAGAACCCAGAATATTTAGAACTTCTTTTGCACTTGTGTGATGCTTTCCTAGGGCAGCTAGATAGCACAATGGATAGGGTACTGTGCCTAGAGTCAGAAAGACTCATCTTCCTGAGTTCCAATCTGGCCTCAGATACAGCCTCTAGCTGTGTAACCCTGGGCAAGTCACTTAACCCTGTTTGCCTTGTTTCCTCATCAGTAAAATGAGTTGGAGAAGAAATGGCAAACCATTTCAATACTTCTGCCAAGAAAACCCCAAATGGGGTCACAAAGAGTTGGACACAACTGAAAAATGACTTAACAAATGTTCTCCTACCACATTAGATGATAAAATCCTTGAGAGCAAGTTCTCTGTATCTTTGTATCATAGGATCATAGATTTAGATCTGTGAAGGACCTTACACACCATTTAGGCAACTGCCTAATTTTTCAGATGAGGAAACTGAGGCACAGAAGAGTCAAGTGACTTACTCAGGGCCACATAGCTAGTGTCTGTGGAGGGATATGAACCCAACTAACCTTGGCTTTAAAACTAGCACTGTTGCCACACTGTCCATCCATAGGACATGAGTATATAATAGACATGTAATACATATGTTGAATGTGATAAATTATAATAAATTATAAAAAATAAATGAGTGAATAAAAAAATCAAAAGATATGTACTTGATGGGGAGATATAGAAAGAAGGATGGCCACCATCATCATGAACAACAATTCTTTGTTTCTGATTTAATATGTATAGAGCCCTCCCTGTGATCAGGGCCATGGGGTAGGAAAGATAACCAAGGCACCATCCCTCAGGAGGGAACCCATGGTCTGTTCGGGAGATCAGGACATACATTTTAGTTATGTATGAAAGCACATCTAAAATACTAGGCAGTGCCAATGCTAAGTGCCAAATGGTGGTATAGCCAGTAAGTGCTATAGGAGTTTGGGGAGGCAGAGAATTCATTCAGTTCTGGGTAGTCAGAGATGGCTTCAAAGAGGAGTTAGGATTTGAGGTGAGCCTTGAATGAATGAATGAATGAAGCATTTATTAAGTGCTTACCATATACAAAGCATTGAGCTAAGCTCTAAGAAAGTTCCTGCTGTTAAGGAGCTCACATTCTAATGGAGGAAACAACACACATTGAAGGCTTCAGCTGTAAGTCAGATGGAAAAGTTCCATGGTCCTTAGGGTGCAGCGGCAAAGCAGATGGTAACATCCCTTCTTTAATGTCATTTCCATGGTTTAAATTATTTCGGTTTCTGATGTGGAATCATTTGACAGTGCCAAGTACTGTGGGCCTTCCAAAGCTGCAGCTGCAGTACCTGCAGGAGCAGTTGCCAGGTTGCATCCCCACAGGGGCTGCTTCCTGGGGTGATAGCTCAAGGCACGAGGCTGGAAGCACCTCTGTTCTGAAGGCTCATGAGTTCAAGGTACTATGCTGTCTTCATCAAGGTCTGAGAGGAGATGGTGGTCAAGATGGTGGTGGTTTAACCTGCCTGGCACGTGCTGTCTCCCATCACCTATTTAGGGTGCCCTGTCGCTTCCGTCAAACTGGCAGTTGGTGGGGATGGCTGGTCACTTCATCATGGGAGCCACCCCCTCATGTGATTGCTGCAAGGAAGCAGGACCAGTAGTCTTGAATGATGCATAATGTGAGATAATACAGTGCCATATAAATTCTCTGACTACTTGTGTAGGGGGTATTGTATGTTGGTGATTTTATGTTGCTCTTCCTCTGTATTAGGAGTGTGTGGGGGGGCCAATGAGTTGAAGCTGCTTCAACTAGATTTGGATAACTAAAGCTAGACAGATCTCATCTGTAGATTCACCAAGAAGTATAAGTATAATTTCTGCCCGAGCAACCTCTGCAGTGTTTGGGCTTTCACAAAATGATGGAACCCCTTAAGGGAAATAGACAGGACTTTTTTTAAAGGGTGTTAGGGTTTGATAAAGTTTTGCTTGGAGGCTTGCAATATACACTCAGGATGTTCCCAAGAATGTTATCCTCAATTCTTACCAGGAAAGGATAGTGTGTAGGTTGGGAGCAGACCTGGGTGTAGAGGCTGGCCTTAGTTCCAAATTAAGGAGCAAAACCCCATGACTCCAGAAAAGACAGGGGATGAGTCAACTTCAACCACAAGCTATGGAAAAAGTGAAGTCTTCCAGTCTTCTTTTACCCCTTAATGTGAGAAAACCTTTATCTAGGAAAATTTCCCAAGGACCTAGAGGCCAAAGAAAATCCTTCCAGATAGGTCCAAAAAAAAAAAAAGGTGTAAAATTAATCCTGAGAATGCAAACTGAGAACCAGCTCAGAAACCCCCAACAGTCAGTAATTTGGGGGTAATAGATGACAGGACCCCTGATTAGGAATAAGGGAAGGCAGGCTATGACTATTCTTCCTCTGTCCTTCCCCCAAAGAGTAAAAATTACAGCTTTATAAGGCTTCTGGAAACTCTACCCCAATGACCTTGAATAGAGTGCTTTGTTGGGATTCAGTATTCCCATCTGTAAAATGAAGGTGCTGAACTAGATGATTTCAAAGGCCCCTTCCAGTTGCAATATTCTACGATTTTGTGAATCCCAGGTCACTACGATGTGCTAAGACCATTTCTAGGTAAATTGTCAGACAGGGCTAGATGAAGTGAAAGCACTATTTCCAGGTAGCTACAGTTTTACCCAATTTGGAAATCTTTCCCCCCCTAACTCCACTCTGCCTAACACCGAAACTGCAACAATTTCTTCCTTCCTTCTTTCCCCTCCTCCACTGCTAAATTCTCTTTTTATTGTCTTTCTACTACATCATACTGTGGTGGAAATAATCCTGGAGACCTAGGTTCAGGATCCTAGCTTCAGCTCTTAATAGCTATGTGACAAATCACTTCATCTTTCAAGCTTCAATTTCTTCATCTCTTAGGTATAATACTTGTATTAACTCACTCATTGGTCCAAGGACTATATTCAAGTAAACTATTACTATTTTTACAGCTTCAATATTAACTCTTTTCTGTCACTGAGGGTACTAAGTTTATCGTTCTGGAGAAGGACAGGGCAGACCACTCCAGTATCTTTGCCAAGAAAACTCCAAATGGGGTCACAAAGAGTTGGACATAGCTTAAAAAATGACTGAAAACCAACATGTTTATCATTCACTGTTCCATGTTTGTTGACACCAACATGTCTCCTTTCTACATGTTGTCCTTACCAGAATTTAAGGAAACCAAAATAATCAGGTTATTATTGGGGAAGATGTTCCCCAAACTGGAAAAATAGTGGCAGATATTAAATGTAAAATGAGATAGGTAAATGAGATAAGCATAGTCTTTCCATGAACAAAAATGAGGCAGTCTCTCATGATTCATATACCTGTGACAATAAAATAAATCAACTCCACTTATCACTATGCATATCTTTTGGTATGGACTTCATTTTCCCTAGTTAATCAAATGAGAAAGAAGAGAAAGGGGGCAACTATTCCAACATTCATGACATTTCTGCCTCCCTTCCAGTCAAAAAATTTGTAGTCCCTGCAAATTACAGTAGTAGACCTTTATTTACAGAACAAATACGAGTTTCAAAATATTTGACAAGTGATTGTACGATAGTCCCACATCCCTAGGAAGCAAAATGGTGTGACAAAAAACATTTTCTCTTGACTTTTCATATTCCCTTAGGAGTACAAGGAAACTTTTCTGGTCTGGTCTATAAAGACAGAGG